TACCTGGATGTTTTGTGTTCGGGAGTTTTTAAATTTAACATTTCCTTTGGCCAATGTACCCATTTCTTTTATAGTATCTTCAATGCCTGGTATTCTCATTTTCATCTTTTATATTTCCATTTGTGAAACGTGCCTCTGTAGTTTTTGCACAGAATCCTAAATTTTTTCATTTCCACAACTCCCTCAGTTTGTGTTTTCTTTATTGCTCCTATGTCCATTTTCAGGTCTTGAACAGTTTTAATCATTTTCTTCAATTCTTTGTTTGTATTTTCTTGACTTGTTGTAAAGTATTCATTCATTTCTTCCAACTGTTTATGTTTTCCTGAGTTTCTTGAAGGGATTTATTCATTTTCTCTTTAAGATCTCTATCATCTTCATGTATTTGGTTTTCAGGTCTTTTTCTTGTGCTTCAGCTATGTTTGAATATTCAGGGCCTGCTGTGGTAGGATAGCTGGGCAGTAGTAGAGACATATTGCTTTGGCTATTATTGATTATGTTTTTATTCTGATGTCTCTGAATCTGGATTTGGGATGGGTAAAGTTCTAGGTGCTGATTTCTGGATTTGTCTCTATTGGGTGGGTGTCTTATTCCTTGGTTTCTATTTTCTCTCTGGATTTCCAGAGTGTGATGGACTTGTGCTGCCTGTTTTCCTGCCTGTTCAGCTGGAAATTCACCAGGAATGCCTGCTGGTGTTGGAAGCTTGGTACTTGGGGTGAATTGTAGGAACAAACATCAAAAGAAAAGGCCTTTATGGTCCTTTGGGGATGAGGTCAGAGAGTAAATGGAGACCGCAGCAAATTTCCAGCTAAAGATAAGGGGATGAGACTGGGGGTTTTGGATCTCAGGAGTAGTAGGAAAGATGTGGGTCTGAGTTCAGCTTACTTGTTGCCCTGGGAGGAGCTACCCTTGGGTAAGTAGGGTGTGTCAGCTAGAGTTCAGGTGTGGGACAATTCAACAATTTGAGGGATGAAGATTAGGACAGGAAGGTTTGTGAGATCCACAGGAAGTGTAGACAGGGTTAGAGAAAGCTGTAGCCGGCGTTCTGTTGCAGTACTAGGGACCAGACCATGTGCCCTGGGGAACAGGGAGGGGAGGGGAGGTCTTCAGGCAGCCTAGTTGGTTTCCTGGCAGGTGTGGCCTGTGGTTTAATAGGTGGCCCACTTCTGATATCTTTGAGTAAATGTATTCTATTAAGTATGATACAGGGAATGAATAGCCACAGACTGTAAGCATATATTCACAACTTGTATTGGAACCAATTTCAAATGCTTGATCATTTTGAAGAACTGTATGTTGTAATGGGAATTGCTAAATGGTCTTATAATTGAAATAACTGGAGCCAGGTATTGGGGTAAATTCTGAAAGATCAGAGAAACAGAACAATCCATATCCAACCTCACCTTGCCAATTTCTCAGCTTATCTTGTTTCCTCAGCCTGGAAGCCTCTGAATCCTAGCCTGAATGGATCTTAGCTGAACTGCTGCTAAAAGCTTAAAAAGGCTCTAGTTCCTGGTCTATGTACCTTTCTGCTTCCTGCCATCACTTCTTGGGATTAAAGGCATGTGTCATCATGCCTGGCTGTTTGCAGTGTGGCTTTGAACTCACAGAGATCCAGATGGATCTCTGCCTCCAGAATGCTAGGATTAAAGGCATGTGTTACCATTATCTAAACCTAAGTTTAATATGGTAGCTGTTCTGCTCTCTGACCCACAGATAAGTTTATTGAGGTTCACAATATATCAACTACAGTATGTGTTCTCTCTACCTTCACAAAACAACATCAATTCTTTGAAAATAGCTTAACCTTCTTAGTTATTTTGTATAATGCATAATATGGTAAACCACATTAGTGTGAAAAGACTTTGAGGCTATTCAACTTTCCCAAAAACTGATTGGGATGATGGATATTACTAGGAGAGCCAAGTCATTAAATCATTTGTGTGTATGTGTCACAAGAAGACAGTAAAGCTATTATCATGTCCTAAATACCAACTGTTTATGAATTATCAGCCTTTTATGAAAGACATGTCTTATAGTCAATTGAAAGAGAGCAATTATATTGAATGATCATCCAACATCCCTTCTGTTTATATTCTTTATAAGGAATAAAGTCTTTTGTGTTCAAAATGTGTGTATTTAGCAGTATTTACTTTTTCAAAGTCAGTTCCTAGTGGAGAAAAAATGGCATGGACCAAAGTTTATACAAAAATGAAAGTTCTTTATGATACAGGCACAAAACTACATCTAACTTAATAGAATGGTTATGAGCATAATTATTGACAGAGTAAGGTAAGAAATTCCTTAAAACCAAGCAGAAAGAAGGCAGGCACAATGACTCATGCTGAGTTTGAGACCAGCTTAGTTTTCATAAAAAGTGCCAGACTAGCCAGAGTTACATAGTAAGATTCTCAATTAAGTTAAAAAAAAAAAGGAAAAGCAGGGTCATGTTAGGTAGTGGACAGATCATTTAAGTGTTAAGAGCACATACTATTCTTGCAGAGAACTGGAGTATGGTTCCCAGCACTCATGATGATGTCTCAGGACTATCTGTAGCTCCAGCTCTGAGGAGCTATCTCCCACTTTTGGCCTCTGATGACACCACACTCACTTGCACAAAGTCCTACACACACCCATCGAGAAAGACATGGCAGAAATATTAAAACAGTCGTAGCAGATGCTGACTACAAGGAACCAGTGTTTTCAGGACACAACTGGGAAGCTGCACTTATCAGTCCACAATGGTTGTGACAGCATTCACAAGAGCTGTGCAAGCTCAGCCCAGACCTAATTCCCTAATGGAGAGCAGAGCTGGGCAGGAATTCTCACTGACAGTGGAGGAATTTTTGTCACTTGACAGCTCCTAGAAGGAAGTCATATCTTCAAGATGGTAACTTCTGGTATGTCAAACACTCTCCACCAGTTGAAGTCCATGCGTCCAAGAACATATATGAGAAGCACAACTAGTCTTTTGATGGGTGTTGAAGTTAAAATAAAAGGACAGAAACTTGGGTAGGTAGGTGTTGTTATCTCTTTTTATTATCTACCTTGGCTGTGCCTTAAGCAATGGGTAAATAGTCAGAGATCGCAAATCAGTCGGTGCCAGCAGCAGTTCTGCCCCGAGGGCTGAAGCCTGAGGGGATTCTGTTCCTTCAGGCACTGATTCTTTCAAAGCTACTAAGGGAAGCTTTATCTAAATCTAAAGAACTCAGGGTTCAACAGTTTAGGTGGAATTCTACTCGCTCAGATGCTGAATACCAAGTCGCTAACCTTCTCCCTTTGCTGGGGTCTTCCAAAAAACCCAGGTTTTTTCTTCAGAACTCACTTAAAAAACCCTTGCTACACATGGTTCCTTTTTATCACTTCCTGCCAGCTACTTGCTGACTCAGCCTCCTGCTTGCAGGTCAATTTTATTTAATTAAACACATCTTTGAATTGCTAATAAAAGACATAGGAAAAAATGCAACACACTTTAAAATGTTACTCCCCAACAAATAGGTAAGGGTCAAAAGATCTGGATGGAGCTGGGGGAGGCAAATGAATATGATAAATATACACTATAAAATCTTTTAAAGAATTAATAATTTTAAAATAGAAACCTATAATATATGCATGTTTTTACTATATTAGTATGTGATATGTAACATAATATGTATTTAAATATTATATACATCTATATACAATTTTGAAAAAGAATCCTTATGATGAAACAATGTGAAAATATAGACTAATGTTGACACAGTAAGAAACAATCAAGGAACACTGGTTAAAAGGAAGTAAACAGTAGTAAAACTTGTAGGATAATAATGCCTTGCTAGTACATTTTTAACACCATAATCTGGATTTCATGCCAACTGTTTAGGTTCACCAAACCCTACTAGAATTAAATAACTAATATAACTAAATCAACCTAAATAACTAATATGTTCCTCTCCCTAAATGCTGAGATTAGCAGGGCATCCATTTCTGAGTGGATCCTAATTTCTATTCTTGTCCTCTCCCGAGTCAAGCTTTATTGTTTAAAGTTAACTTTCAGGTAATTCAGATTTAACGGTATGATAGCATGAGGAACAAGGACTATACAGCTTCATGCTGTCACCTCAAGCTGAATGATGAAGTCACATACTAGCTCCACGGCTCCTACAGAACGGGAAAAGGATTAGTTACAATTGCATCACAAATAAATCTTTCTTTCTTTCTTTCTTTCTTTCTTTCTTTCTTTCTTTCTTTCTTTCTTTCTTTCTTTTTGCTTAAATCTAATCCCTTTATACTTCCTCCGATTTATGGTAAAACAAATACTATGAAATACATTTTTAAGTGAAAATGTGGATGTCTCAGAATTGGAGACCACTGAGAGTTGGAGGCATCACAGTGAAATGGAAACCTGCATTTATTCTGCTTTATTTATCTTACTAACTGAAAAAAAATAACTTGATCCTGTTTGAATTTATGATGAATTTACCCTGATATTTAAGAATGTTAATGATTTCCATGTTCTTTCCAAAGACTTAAAGATTAGAAAATAAGATACAATGTTATAATTGAGAGTGGCTTTTATTTCCTGATCTGCTTACTGGGATAAGCCAGTTCAGGCACCCTCCCCACTATTGCTAGTAGTCTATGGTGGGGTCATCCTTGTGGATTCCTGGGAGCTTCCCTAGCACCAGGTTTCTCTCTATCCCCATAATGTCTCCCTCTATCATGGTATATTTCATTGTTCTCCCACAAAATGCATTATGATCATGATCATGACGAATTCATTTTATATTTTACAAGATTTCTGTTAGCTACCACTAAGGTGTGTGTGCCATTCCAGCAGTCCTAGGGTTATTGTGCCATGTTGCTCATTGCTGTGGTTAATAAATATCATTGCTGAGTAGACTGTTGTTTGATTCCCTCCTTCGAAGCTTGTATGGCACTTTCTGGTACAATGAAAACTAGTTCTCAAAGAAGAGACTGTCAGAAGAGTTCCAGCTTACAGGTCTCTGTAACCTGCTTGTAAGGAACACATGTAAGGCCTAGGGTGAACAACCCTGGTCAGGAATGATAAGCAATAGAATGATGTAAGTAAACCACAAATGGAGTAGTGATAAGCTATAAGCTATGTGTGGAAGTAGGGATAAGACTAGAAACCTAGCCAGGAAAGAATATAAAAGATGAAGCCTCAGACCCAACCAACAGAGCTCGTCAGGCCCTCGCGCGAGACGACTCTCCTCTGCCAGAGACGTGAGATCCTGTCCCCAGTGCAGACGTGGCTGACCTGAGGAAGGCTGACCCAAGATCCAGAGGAACAGACGTGGCGAGTCCGGACCTGTATACCCGGAGAGGTACTCCTGCTTCCATTTGGAAGACAGGATGAATATTGCTTGTAATCTTACTGTGTGAATAAATGAGTGTTATACCAAGTCTGAATCAAGAGTGATTATTCCTCCCCCGTAACTGGGGTATGTGCTCGCTACAGTTGGCGTAGTCGGCAGGATTTTGGGCTTAAAGCCTCCTTGACCACTGAGCACTGAGGAATGTAAAATAAGTAATACAAAAGAATTGGCTATTACTCTGGTGGAGTAACAAATTACAGGAAACCAAATAAACTAGCAAGTGACCTCAAAGCCGCTCTGAGAAATCAACTCCTCGAAGTCAACTCTGAGGACCTAAAGAAAATCTGAAGGTCCAAGGAGGAAGAACTGGTAGGAGAGAGAGTATCAGAAGCAGACGGGAAACACCACCCTCCCTAAGGGTGCGGAGTACCGAAAGAATACCGGACACCTTGATGCCAACCCAGACCCCTGGGGAAGAGCGGAAGGTGCTGGGAAAGAGCTAAATGAGGCGCTGGCTGGCCAAAAGGATAGAAAGGATTGCGGATTTGAAATTTGACTGGGAGTGGTACCGTAGGAAAAAATTAATTAAATTTTTGTACGGCTTGGTATACCACTTACAATGAATAGATTAATTAAGAAATTTAAGAAGACTAACATCTCCCCAGTGACAGGTAGAGAATACCAAGATGAGGTTGAAGAACAGTGGGGAAAAGTAGCCTCCAAGGTTAAAAATAAGGCCGGCATGAAATCAGTAAATGTAACTAACACATTAACAAATCCGGATGTGGTAGAACAAGAATTAGAGGGATGTAGCAAGGCACAAACTACCGCACTGCTTATGAAAACGGTGCAGGATATTGATAAGGACAGATTAATGGGCAAAAGGCTAGCCTTAAACATAGTGAGGAAGGAACAGGAGCGTAGCGCTACTCCTGGATGGAATGGATGTAACACCGTACCATCATTTCCTGTCTCTACCCAAAGTAAGAGAACTCCTATTAGAAGTACTATATCAGCTCTGAACCCCTTCAGCACTGGAGGAGGTAGTAATCGTCCCAAATTTGAAATGGGAACGAAGTTTGAGGAAATCAGGCCATATACTCCTCAGGAGATCTCAGAATTACGGAAAGATTATGCCCAAAATGGACAGAAAGACGCAGAATATATGTGCCGACTGTGGGAAAAGGGAGCTGACACAGTCATGTTAACTGATCTAGAAATGAGAAAGATCAGAAACATAGTAGAGAACCCCTCAGTATCAGAAGCTCTAGAGCATGTAATTGAGACATCAAAAGGCGATACACATCCACTATTAGATTGGATTACTGCAGCTTGGAGATTTGCATTTCCAACATTAGACCTCACTCAATTTGAATCAGCAGCACAGTGGACAACATATGCACAAGCCATAAAACAATGTAGAAAATTAGGCATATTGTATTTCATATACAACCAGGTACCCACACCTCAAGCCGCACCTTTTACACCACAATTTAAAAAGATCATTATTAAAGGAGCTCCAGCACACCTTAAAATGAGCCTAGCTGGACCCCTGCAGGCATGTCAAACCATCTCAGATGCCATGGAATTCTTTAAATCTTACAGGGAAATGGACATAGACAAGGTAGTATCATTCAATGTTAATAAGAAACAGGACAAGAAGAAATTTACACCGCGGTTTTCGAACATAAGACCATTTGGGAAAGCTAATCAAATGCCCATAAGACAGAATGCAAATAAACCATGGAACCCAATTAGAAGGTTGACAGGAAGGAAAAATATCCCATGGAGAGAGACACAGAGCAACCCATGGAGACAGACATGCCAACCAAAACCTTTTTTAGGCAATCGAAATTTCAAACCAAATTTCAGACCAAAATTTTTCAATCAGAACAATCACAGGCCCCCAAGAGCAGGACCCCCCAGACGCTACATACCAAGACGGACTTGATCAACCCGGCTGGTAGACCATTCGTAGCTATACCTATAATAACTAACAAAGGGCCGAGAATAGTAAAATGGCTAATAGATACAGGTTCTGAAATTAGTATAATAACGGAATTTACAGAACATTTTAAAACTGATAAAAGGATTATAATACAGGGAGTAGCAGCAGAAACAGAAGTACCAGTAATAAAATTAAGACTCAAATTATATAATAAGGAATATGAGATTGAAGCAGCTAGCTTCAATGCACCCTGTAATATCCTAGGCATTAAAGAAATAAGAAAATTATTCCCAGACTTTCTAAATAATAAGAGAATAGCTAAGGTCAGATGTAATCTAGCAGAAGTAAAAATACAACCTATTAAATTACCACACACACCCCCGACCTTCACGGCACAATACCCTATCAAAGGAGGTATTAAGGAAATAACAGAGACTATACAAACTTTGCTAAAAGAAGGCATTATAGAGAAATCTCAATCATTCAATTATAACAGCCCAGTATGGCCGGTGCTGAAACCTAATGGCAAATGGAGATTTACAGTTGACTTCAGGAGAATAAATGAAAAAACACCTAAACTTCCAGGACAACTTCCTGATGTGGAAGACATCTTTCTTAGAATTAAAAATTCAGCTCCAAAGGCAATGGCAACTATAGACTTAAGTGATATGTTCTTTGGAATCCCATTACACCCAACATCTAGGGAACTTACTACATTTACATGGCAAGGACAGCAATATCAATTCTTGAGACTCCCTCAAGGGTATTTGAACAGTCCTATTATTGCACACAACACCTTAACAACTACATTAAAGAGCTTCGAACCAGAATCAGACTGTAACATATACACCTATGTAGATGATATAATGATAGTAGGACAAGCCATTGACAAAGTACAAAGTACATTAGAGAAACTAATTCAACATTTAAGAAATGAAGGATGGACTATAAACCTAGAAAAAGTAAATAAAGCAGGAACAGAAGTAAAATTCTTAGGGGTACATTGGACTACAGAAGGACCAACAATACCCGAAACAATAATAGATAAATTAAAACAAATTAAGCGACCCCAGAATAAAACTGAGGTACAACATCTAATTGGCCTATTTGCATATTGGAGGCAACATATTCCATACTTACAGATCATATTACAGCCTTTATATAAAATAACAAAGAAAGCACAGGATTTTGAATGGGACCAAAACTGCGAAAATGCCGTTAAATTGGTACTGGAATATATAAACCAGTATAGCCACCTATATTATATACAGCCCGGTGACCACGTATTTGTGGACATCTTGTATATGCAGGGTTATGGTAATTGGAATATATTTTCAAAAAATAAAGACAGGGAAACGCCAATAGGCTTCTACTGCAAGAAATTCCCATGGTCAGAGAACAAATATTCGCTGTTCGAAAGAACCATATGGACAGCCTACGAGGCATTCAGGACAATCCACTCACTGCTCAAAGAGAACCATGTGACTCTCCGATCACATATACCCATTTTGGACTGGGTAAAGGCACCAGGAGAGGCGTGGGCTGGACTACCCATGGAAGGAAAGGTACTTCAATGGAAATGGTACCTTCAGGAGTTCCTTCGATCAACACCTCTGTCAGCAAAGGGGTCGGTACCAGCGGTATCGGAGTCGATACTTCAGTCCGACAGGCCCATGACTCCAGAGGGATACATTTTCCCAACCTCAACCCCTCCCCAGAAACAGGTACCAATGGGCCATTGGGGGACTAGAGAGTACGATCCCTCTCTGGTTAATGCCTGGTTCACCGATGGATCAGCAACCACGGTGAACAACAAAGTGAGATGGAGAGCAGCCGCTTATAGACCTGGGGATGGAATGGTCATTACAGACCAGGGCACTGATAAATCAGCCCAACATGCAGAAGTTATAGCCGCACTATTGGCGATAAGACAAACTATAAAGGACAATTATAAACAAATTTATTTATACACCGATTCATGGTGTGTGGCAAATGGCATAGCAGTATGGTCAGGTAAATGGAGAAATAATGGATGGAAAATTAATGGTAAAGACATATGGTCAAAGGCAGCATGGCAGGAATTGGATGCAGCAAGCAGACTAATCAAAATCATAGTATACCATGTAGATGCACATACCAAGAAACAGGATGAGACAAGTAAAAACAATGAAGTAGTAGACAAACTAGCTTCAGCGTTAAGTATAAAGTTAAAAGGTACATGGAAGGCAAACATTAATCCAGAAACAGGAAAAGGTAAAATACAGAGAGAATGGATACAGGTAAGACCATCAACTAAGGACATACCTATAAGTACAGAAGAGATACTGAAAATCCATGAGCAGTTAGGACATATAGGTACACATGCACTAAAAAGTTGGTTCGATAAAAGAAATCTTAAGATAACATGGCAGACAATAAGGAAAGCAATCAATAGTTGCAACAATTGCCCAAAGGCTATTACAAGATTAACACACAATTACCAAGGGATAATAGGACACCGAATGGATTTTAATAGAATCCTACAAATAGACTTCATAGGACCGTTAAACAGCTTCAAGGGAAAATATTGCTGCACCCTAGTAGACATAACAACAGGTCTCGGGATGGCCCGAGAAAGCACACACCCAGACCAAAACACAACAATACTTACAGTCTGGGGATGGTGTGCAGCATATGGAATACCTGATATAATACAATCAGACCAAGGAACTCATTTCACAGGAGCCAAAACACAAAGAATGGCTAGAAACTTAAACATTCAATGGGACTTCCATAGAGCCTATACACCGACAGCAGCTGGAGCAATAGAAAGATGGAACGGAATGATTAAAAAACAGCTAGAGATGCATAAGGGAATACCACTGTCATTAGCAATAAAAATAGCAACTTATGAATTGAATACCAGACCCAGAATAAATAGGAAGTCACCAATAGAAGAAGCTATACAAAAACAACACACAATAGATTATCCTACAGTTATAGATAGAGAAGTAATAAGGAATCCTAATTGCCTTTACAGGAACCGGAAGAATAACAAATTATCCCCAGCAGAAATAATAGCACCAGGAACAGGAAACAACGTGTGGATAACTCAAGGTAAAAAGGACTTGAAATTAGTCAGGCTGGAGGATATAGCATAAATGTGTGTCAGGGAGGTGATATTCATAAGGGCAACCCTCCTGACGATTTGGCTAATAGCTATTGCAGTATACATAGTACTGCCAATCTTAGAATTTGTTTTTCCCTTCTGTAACATCATTTACCAAAGAAGCTACTCATACAACATAGTCAACAATACCAATCCTGGATACGCTTCTGCAGCATCCAGAACAGCCAACTTCACGGTATGCTGGATACACTATCTGCACAGGAGGCAATAAGAATAGCAAAGGTGATGTGCACATTGAAGGCAAGCAAGCTATATGCTATTGGAGCCTTTGTGTGCTCATTTTTCTGTCTCAGGTTAGCAGATGTGATGGCAATAACAGCATACCAATGCCAGCCCTATTGGACAGTACACCCACAACAAACAGACCCACCACCACACCACATGTTATACAAGTGGGCACTAGGAAACAGAATACCGTTGCTACACCAACAATTTATGATCTAGAAGGCAAATTACCGCTATATTGGTCAGCAGAGAGAAGATTTACACATTACATAGGAAAAACACACAGTTTTTGGCAAAAATATGCAGCATGTTTAACATATGCCTGGTATAAGGGTTGCGATCAATATAGAATGGCACTTAGCATATACCATCCAAACAAAGAATATATGTTAGAATCAGGGGATGATGTTAACACCAACATACATGAGCAGAACCCGTTAAAATGCCATTACAATGAATTATGGACCAACATTACCAATCACGCAGCCATATACAACATGTATTGGACAAAGAATTCACATATCAGAACAAACACATTAAGGGTAAACTCACACTATAGGACCAATACAATGGGAATAGAGACAGAACCAGAATTTGACTGCGAACTAGGCATGAATAGCTCCTTTGTGAGACAATATTTCGCACCAGTAATAGCACAACAAATGGAGGAGATAGGTATGCTATATAATAAGACATCAGAAAGGTGGGAAGAACAAGTGTATAATTACAATGATGACTATTATGATGGTGATTACCCTGCTAGTACAACACCTAAAGTAACTACAACACCTATAAACCCATGCAACCCTATGAATTGGACAGTATGCAATGATGGTGAAATGGTAAAACCATGGCCAGTAGTATCTGGAATAATACCATTACCCAAACCCTGGGGAAATAGATGTCCCAATAACTTATGGAGATACATTCAAAAACATAAGCTAGATGTACCAGGACAAAATAATACTAACTGGTTATGCGTAGCAGACTATCCCAATTTACCATTCTATGGTAACTTCTCTGTATTATATAGCACAGATAACCCATCAGTAAAAGGAAAGGAATGGAAATGGGATGACTGGACAAAAATATTGCAATTAGGAGTAGAACATTGGAGATTCCCAATCATACTTACAGATATTATACAACAACCTTGGGCTTCAATGAGACACACAATGAAACCTAAATATGATTGCAACACAGACACCATAACACACATTTGCATACTTACAGTAAATTCCACATTACACAGGGAAAAACACTCTTTTGCATATGCATGTATAAATATGTCCGAAGCAAATACAAACATTAGACAAAACAACAATACAAAGACTATAGTGGACCTACATGTAGGACCTTTATTTACTGGAAGAACATCAAGGTCAGTACAAGATTTAATAGCAATCACAGATATAATAGGCCAGAAAATACCATGGCTAGGAATTTTTGTGGACAGTACTGCAAATATAACAGCTACTAAACAGGTCCAGGCAATAATGAGATTTAATGACGACCAACAGTCATATCCAACATATTTTACGCAAGCAAGTAATTTGGGATTTTTTAACCTAACCTTAGCAAAATCACTAACACAAGGTACCACAAGCTTGAGAAACAAATTATCATGCTTTACCGAAACAAATAATACAGCGGTACGGACTAACTGTACCACAAATAAAGCAACCACAATAATAAATTTGAATATATATGGTAAAATTACCATAATAAACAAACATATGTCACTAGTAAAATTTGACAGCACACCAATATTAACCATAGGCATGATACATGAACCAAAACATAAAATACATAACATGCTAGGTGGCAGTAAGATATCAATTTGCTGGTTTCACGAATCTAAAGACTTACTGGACATGCCCATACCCTGGGAAGTCAGTGCCAATGTTACTACAGATGAAGTAGCAGCAAAAAATATTTTCATATTTAATAGGGCAATTGAACAAAAGGCATACAATTTCACAGGTATAAGGGAGGTAGAATATATCCCACCATATGTACAAATGACAAAGGCTATGAGAATCAATAAGGTTATGGATCCAGATGACCTAATGGTACATTATAAAAATGGGATAACTAGATCAGGGAGTTTTTGGCAAACTTTGGATTATGAAATGGATAGAGTAATTGAATTACAGCACCATAATCTCCCATATTATTTCTACATGTTAATGCCAAATCCACAATATAAAGAATGGAATAAGGCTGAATGGGTAGCACACAAACCTAGAGGATCAATGAAATCACATACACAATATTGGGATAAAATATATTATCTCCCGATATCAAGAAATAAGGATTTTCTCAGCGAACATTCCAACACACCATTTTAGAGGAAATATGACCAGACCAAATAAAGAAAATATTGGATTATATACAGCTCATTTTCCAAAAGGATACCTAATACCACCAGAAGGAACCCCAACAGTAGTCAAGGCACCAGCTATTATACCAGACCTAAAAAGTCCAGCTAAATTAGTTTTATACCCTAGGATTAGAAAAATTGAAATTACAATAGATTTGACAGCACTGAAACCACCTATAGAATATTGTAGTGATGTGAATTTTAGATTTGATTTAGACTACTCATCACCAACAAGAGTAGGAAGAAAACCACTACAAGCAATGGCAGTAGCAGCCTTTATGGCAGGAGCAATTTTAGGTGGAATAATGGGTGGAGGAGTATCAGCAGCAATGATAGAACCAATAAAGGCAGAAATATACCACATACAAGAAGTAAATAAGAAAACAGCAGAAGCTTTAGCAGCTATATCAAATTCTATAGATGGCATGCATACACTAATACAAACTATGCAAGGCGAGATAAAAATGTCACAAGACCTTTATAAGGAACAATTCTCCTATCAAGCAAAACTTATTAATACTAACCATAACATGATGATGTGTCAAATGTATCGAACTCAAGTCAGTAATATGAATAATGAATTAAATAGTTTATTTAGCACAGGGTTAGGGAGAAGAACAAGAGAATATCAAAGTATACTAAACCCTGAATATGAAAGCTCATGCACAGATGGATTATGCAATATACATTTAGTACAGATCTTCTTACAAAATTCATTTTCAGCATATCATTCCAAGGCGATACCACAGCTATATACTGAAAGAACAGGAGTATCAGAATGGAACCACCAATACTTAGTACCCATAGACCATTACTTATGGACCAATATGAATGACACACCAGTGTACATACCATTAGAAGACTCCATATCATTAGGAGCAAATACATACGTTTATCCACATTTACCAGAAAGCACACTTGAAACTAGTCAATTGGCAGTAACTACTATCACACAGTCACTAGAAGATACGGGAGATTACACTTTCTTGATATGTGCTAAATATTTACCTACTTTAGTTAGCTGCATAAATCTTAATGAAACCACAATGAATGATGATATCACAACATTCAATATTACAGAATCAGGATGCTATATGGTACACAACTGTAGCATCCTACAAATGAATTTCACTAATTATGATGGTAAAAACATAACCAAACAAAGAGTGACCACATTAACACTAGAAGAAAAACATTATTTTGATGGCTCACACTTATTTAATGACCCAACAGAATTAGAACATCACCAAACATTTGTAAAACAAGCAATGGAGTTACAGCACATTGCAGATTTCAATCAGAAACAACTGGAATCCATACATAACAAAATTAAAGAACAAGATGCAGCCATACATACATCACAAGCACAAACGCACAATCTAGTGAATCTGTTAAGAACAAATACATACATACATAAAGACTGGGCAAAACAGATGCAGAAATGCAGCTTTTGGGATTATTTAGGCAGACTAGTCAGATTAGATCTAATATGTACACCAATTTACACATGGTGGCACTGGATAAAGTTAGCAACCTTTTGGTTTTTAGTAATTTTAGGGATAAGTATTGCTTTATGTTTGTCTAAAAAAATCAAATGCTTGATAATAACTCCATGCTTAAGATGTCTTACAGGAATCAAGTAACAGGAAACCCACTTTGGAATCCGTCAGGCAGAAGCTTCGATTTACTTAGTAAAAATGGAATGAGTAATTTACTATATACCACATACCAAAAATATATGGAACCATTGTCTGATATTTTCTATAGAATAGGTATATTATCTATGGCAGGAACGATACAGGGATGCAAATACTGCACCCATAAATATGCAATGTTCTACCTATCAGAACCAGGTGAGGTAGACCACCTCCCAATGCTCTTGATGCACTTAACGTTCCACTTGACAATAGAAGGAGGTATACATGATATGAGATTAATTGGAGATGGATACATGAGATATTATGGAACCATACAATCTAGTGTATATAAAGTGAATGGAATGTACAAAATACACAGAAATAACATGGATGCAGCCCTACATATAAGCGCAGCTTTAGCTGCAGCATATGTGGGCCGCGGTAATCACAGAATATATGAAACATATAGAACATGGCTAAAACATAATCCTGATGAAGCAATAATAAGCATTGATAAAGATTTCCTGAATGACCCACAGTGGGAAACAGGAGAACCAATGTATTTACAAAGCATATGTACTAGAATATTGTGTAGAGATTTTGTTATAGATGTGTTAAAAGAATTTGCAGCTTATAGCACTTGGTTGAAGTTATATAATGCATATATAGAGAAAAAACATAAAAATAAACCACCCAGAATGAGAAGGATAAGAATGCTAGGATTAACAAATTAGGATAACATATTGTAAATCTCCAGGCTGCGACCTCATGTGATGCCTTTTATGTTGAAGACATTTCAGGCATCAGGGGATGGAATGTAAGGAACACATGTAAGGCCTAGGGTGAACAACCCTGGTCAGGAATGATAAGCAATAGAATGATGTAAGTAAACCACAAATGGAGTAGTGATAAGCTATAAGCTATGTGTGGAAGTAGGGATAAGACTAGAAACCTAGCCAGGAAAGAATATAAAAGATGAAGCCTCAGACCCAACCAACAGAGCTCGTCAGGCCCTCGCGCGAGACGACTCTCCTCTGCCAGAGACGTGAGATCCTGTCCCCAGTGCAGACGTGGCTGACCTGAGGAAGGCTGACCCAAGATCCAGAGGAACAGACGTGGCGAGTCCGGACCTGTATACCCGGAGAGGTACTCCTGCTTCCATTTGGAAGACAGGATGAATATTGCTTGTAATCTTACTGTGTGAATAAATGAGTGTTATACCAAGTCTGAATCAAGAGTGATTATTCCTCCCCCATAACTGGGGTATGTGCTCGCTACACTGCTTATAAAGTTCCTACTTTCTTCATTAATAGGTATTTACCTTCCACCTCTCGGGAGAAACTAAGCTCCATAACATGTAAAGTTTGGGAAATATCTTAGACAATTTTGACCAACTTGAAAGAGAGCTGCTTATGCCAGTTTTAGAAAAATGGTCGAGGCTGGAGGAAGCATTGTAAGTCTAAATGGTAAACAGTTCATTTAAATTATATGTACATTTATGTAAAGGTTTTCATGTCTTACAGATATTTTAGGTAGATACTTAATAATATGAATCCTTATTACTTTTTCAGACACCTTTACTGTTATTTTACCCTCCCATTTCCTTCCTCACAATAATCTCTACCTCATTAATTTGAGCCCCCACCCCATTTTTCCATTTCCCTCATAAGAGTGCTATTATTCTTCTCTTTATTACTCCCCTGAACACTCCACCTCAGGAATTGTAGAAAACCACAACCATTCAAACTCAAAGTTGAAGAGACCAGTTGTAATAAACACATCTAAAAATGTAGTCCCTTACCTTGGGCTCAGGTATCACTGTGGAAGAAGGGGTGGGAGATTGTAAGAGCCAGGGTAACACAGCTTTCGTGAGATTGTTTCTCTTAAGAATGTCAGAAGCTACAAACATTAATGTCTCACCAACATTGCTGTCTAAACACGAGATGAACAGCAAGCATGAGCATGCTGATACAAAAGGGCAAGCCTAGGAAGCCTCAACACTTCACAAAGAACCACAAGGCAAATAAGGAATGCTGAGAGCTGGACAAATAGCCTTCCCAGGGACTAGCACACCAACTGTTATCCAATACAAAATAGCTGGTCCGGAAAACATACAGAGAAATAACTGTACAGACTGAGACATGTGTATTTATAGATATATGTCTTTATACATATGCATGCATGTGTGAAAGGATAAAGAAAAAATAGTCCGTAAATTTTAAAGGAAGCAAGGAGTGGCATGTGGGAGGGTTTAGAGAAAGTAAAGGGAAGGTAGAGATGACATAATTAAAATCTCAAAAATTAAAAGAAATAGTTTTTAAAACATTGTTGTCAATATTGCAAATGCTTAGCTCAGGAGCACTTATAAGATAATGAAGTAAGAGGTGGTCCAGTCCAGTATTAAATGTCATATACAAAATCTCTAGCACCCTCCATCTCTGAGAGACATTTTGGAATATATTGGGCTTTATTTTATTTTATATATAAAATCAATGTTTAAGTGAAAAGCTACTTGTAAAACATATATTTCCCAATATATTTATACAGTGGGGTATGTATAATTTTATAAATGTGCTAAATATGTGTGGGTTGGGCATGAATAAAATTTGCTGTGTAAGCCGGGTGGTGGTGGCGCACGCCTTTAATCCCAGCACTTGGGAGGCAAAGCCAGGCGGATCTCTGTGAGTTCGAGGCCAGCCTGGGCTACCAAGTGAGTTCCAGGACAGGCGCAAAGCTACACAGAGAAACCCTGTCTCGAAAAACCAAAAAAAAAAAAAAAAAAAAAAAAAAAAAAAAATTTGCTGTGTAAATATTAACATAAAATAGGTACACATTTTTCAAAAATTTAAAATCCTTAAAGGCAGGTTAAAAGGTGTAGAATTATTTTAAACTTATTGCAAGGTACACAAAACTTATAATTTGAACATCCCCTGGCTTACTATCTTCAATTCTGGATGATGTGGTTAAGAACTTCTCATAAGTTATTCAAATTAACATGATATAAGTACAAAGTTCAAAGTAATTTTGGCATTTTTATTCACATAGGAAAAAATCTACTGTACTGTAGCACGAATCTTAAAAGGTCTTATTAATTAAAAAAAAAAAAACAAAAAATACTCGAAGCCAGAAATTGTGGTTAAAGACTGAGAGAGATCAGAGAAATAGAAAAGCCCACAAGCTAACCTCACCTCACCAACACCTCAGTCTCCAAAGAGAGCTACTTCTTATATACCTATGACTATATGCCTTTCTGTTCTTTTCTCTCATTGGCTCTCTCAGCCCAGCTCTCTCACTTCCTGTCTGTCTGTACAGACCTCCAGACCTCTATGGT